CGCACTAAGGTGCGCTGTGTTGACCAAAAGTGAATTGAAAACAACCGCAAATGGCCACACCATGTTTACCATGACTCTTTGTGATGACAATCCAGAACATACTTTGAAGGCACTCAGCTTCCACAAAGATCTATATGAAGTACTACACCCCACAGATACATATATCTTTAAAAGGTATAAAGCAAAGAAGGACCTTGGAAATAATATCCAAATACACTTGGATGCTGGGACAGAAATAGAAAAATCAGCTGTACAACTAAAGATTGAAAAGAAAACTTTCAATATAGCTCAGATTTTACGAAAGGAAACATCAAACATCCCATCGTTTAACATCAAGTGCAAGATTACCTTGATGATGTTGATGATGCAAGGTTGGTTGGAAAGCAGCCAAACCAGTTCCTTAAAAGGGATATCACATGCCAAGACACTACTGGGACTATTACGATGGTGTTATGGAGAGATAGAGCCAGAGATTTCTCTTTCAATGTAGATGATATAGTTTGCATTGAAAATGTGGTGTCTTCTTCATTCCAAAACCGAATAAATATCACAACAACACAAGAAACGGTGATAAAAACAGTGCACGATGATGCTCTTGGGGAATTAGAGATTCAACCACAAAATCAACAGCCAGAAGAATGTATGTTGAAAACATTGAACACAAAAATATTGTCTTTTAAAGAGTTTAAAGTTACTACAAGGTGCATCAACTGCCATAAATGGATCACAGTGGTCGATGAAACTGTCATTGAATGTGAAGCATGCACTGCAATGTTTCCCCTTGAGCATACTAACATACAAAATGAATGTTTATTCATGTTGAATGATAAACAGTACTATGTTGCAAAAACTCAAGTAAGTATTGATTCAATCAGTACCCTATTAACCATACAAAATATATAGTGTTTGCACAATCTATCTAATTTTATCTGTATACTAATATAAAGGAAAAATGTAAACTATTGCATTTAATGAATACTTAATGTCTTTAAATGGTCAGAAATCAAGACACAGAAACCCAGTAACCATGACCTGTTGAGTATTAGGAACACCACCTACACAATGCGTGTCAATGAAGGTAAGAAGCTAATAGAACATGCAGAAATGGTCAACATCGAACAAGATGCTGAAGAATTTGAGAAACCACCACCTGTAAAGCAACCATGTTATGTAACCACTCCCTACCTGGAAACTGATCATGAAAAAAGAGATWAGATGATGTAACATGTATTATTTTGAAAGAAACTTATATTATTTGATATCTATATTTAATAGGAACAGTGTTTATAGTGTATAAGGCATAAAGAGCACATCTTTATAAACTTAAGTAAAACAACATAATATATTCTTGGTGCATTGGGTTATAGTAAGTTATAGTTGTTATATAGTTCTACTTTAATTATGTTTATGGTTGGCATAAATTCTTCAAAAACTGGTCAGCTTTTTAAAATAAAACCAAGAACAATGTTTGTTTGTTTCATATTGAGAATTCAAATCAGTATATATAAACACAAGTTTTGGCAGTTGACAAAAGTTTTAACTTTGATGATCATTTGAGACTTATAAACTCAACTTGACTTTTTTGGTGTTACTCACTTATAARCATCAACATTGAACTTCTCATGAATTTATGCCTGCTACATAAAGTTTAATATAAAGTCATATAAAAGACATTTAGACAGCATTATGTTATTTAGCAGTATTTTTTTTATAAAAATTGTGTTGTTGCATTTTAAAATTGTTTATGTGTAAATAGTTAGTTCAATCAAGTATGATTGGGAAATTGTTCCAGTTAATATTTAATCAATCTAGCGAAACATGTGACAGTATATAATACACCAATGGTATTTGTTTCAGTAAAGAATGTTGGATAAAAAATGTTTACAGATTTTTCTCTTGTGATTCAATAAAATGTATCGTGAAGTAAAGATTATTTGCTGCCATTATGTCAATCTTAGCTGTGTCCCATAGAGGTATTCCGTTACATCACCTCTCTGTTCAGTAGCATATTTTCAAGAAACTAGCAGAAATGTGTGCCCTGTTCTCGTGGCAAGTACAATAAGTATGCAAAACACAGTAGCTGTACTCACTCATTGTATTACTTGGTCTCTGTTGCGCAACCTTATTGTGAAGATAGATGCACACAGTTGGTTTAAATAGGAGTTTGTGTAAGAAAACCACATAACAATGTACTTTTCTTAGAAGAACTTGGAAGCTGCTTATAATAATAATTCTTTGATAAGAACTAATTAGATGCTAGCCATTAATGAGAAGAGAAAGCCGGGGGGGGGGGGGGGTACTCGCATATATTTGCTATATGGGAACGTGCCTCTGGCAAGGGTATGTTTTTTGGCCTTGCTGTCCTAAACAGGGTATACATTTCACCCGACATTGTCTAGACAGGCTCTACAGTTTAGATAAAAGACCGATATAATGTTTTTTGTGTGTTAGACAGGGTAATGCTTTCATAAGAAATACCGTAGAAATACCGTTTCACTGTCCCAGGATTAACGTGTTATCAAAAATTTCTTATTGTCTTTGATGGATGTCAGTATAATTGCACTTTTGATGGTTGCGGCGCAGATAGCCATTTCCTTATTTGTCCCCCCCCCAGGAGAGCAAGATCAAGGGACAAACAAAGGGAACAATATTTCATTACAACTTCACTTGTTTAAAATAGWTACTAAGGCACACAAACCTTTAAAGTGGTATTTGAGAGACATTTTGTTTGTACTCTATTTCTTTTGAGCATAAATATTCAATCAACTTTTCGTCTCAACCTAGTTAGGTGTTATGTTTTGCACAAAGTGTAACRATCGTGTACAATCTTACTCGATACAAGGGATCCCAGATGATGATGATGTGTGTAGACTTCCTGTGTCAAGGAGTTATGAGATCTTATATGATTGACTAATTTAACACTACTTCACTAGTAACCACAGGAAGCCCAATCTCTATATAACAGGGAATCAATATGGCGTACCAGTTCTCCTCTATTTACAGGTAGCCCAAGGTCTACTATGACTGTATAAAAAAATTGAAAATATTTTGAATAAAATCATTTGAACTTACATRYGTGTTTTTCTTGTATTTTATGTYCCTGGTGTGGATTTTGCTAGTTTGTTTTTTTGTTTTTAACATTTTAAGTTGTTATAGGACCATAACAAGGTAAAATCTCAAAAACAAATCCACAACGGGAACATAAAATACAAGAAAAACACGCATGTAAGTTCAAAAAAAATACTCCATTT